TCACTCCTACAAATATCCAGAAATCGAGAGGAAAGATGTTACACATCAAAAATTTTGAAAATCCATGGAGAAAATAAAATGAAAATAAATAACGATTTTTTCTACTCTAGAGTTCAAAGTTAGGCGAATTTTCAGATTTAGCCAATTATCTTTAAAACTACTTTATATATTTTAATGAAATTTAGTGTGTATCAAATAATAATAATTATAACTCAACAACACGATCATACAAACGCATGATCGGGCGCAACACGCATCGGAGTTCAGAAGGTATGAAACAGCAGTTGCAGAATGGAACACAAAAAAATTGGTTATTAGGGAGTATCTTACAGATATGCAGACCTCACACCGTGAAATTATACTGGAAATAAGGGGATTTATGGGTTCTTGTGGCAATGTGGAACCACTTGTTCAGCCCAAATATTTTAAGACTTTGTGCGGTTCTCAGAGGGGGGGGGTATGCTAGTTGAAATTACCCTCTCCAGAACGTTCTTAGCATTTTCTATTGAGTTAAGGTGCGGAAAACTGGTGGGCCAATCTCTCCGGCGAACCTCCTCACTTTCTAAAAATTCGTCTACTTGATGAACTCAACGCAGCTTCCCCTTGCCACCTATTAAATCAAAATCAGGTTCAACTGCATCCCTGAAAAGGCAGACATAGGGCTCCAACACCTCATCCCAATACCTCACAGCAGCCTCTTTAACAAAGACAGGGAGATCCAACATGATGCCTGATGCCAAACCTTCGCTGTTCTAATGATCGATTCTCACAGCTACTACAGGCATGTCAAACTCATTTGATATCATGGGCCACATGAACTATTTTATATTAAGTTCAGGGCAGCATGTTTTCAATGCTCAAAAATTTATAAAACAGGATTTTTAGTATGATTATATTCTATATTTAGAGAACTTAATGTAATAAATATTATACATACATATATAATCGTTTTATGTTTCATTTTATTTTTTAAACTATATATATTGTATGAAAAAAACAAAAATAAAAGTTATAATAAGAAAAACAAATTAATATTACTTTTAGAAGATAGTTTAAATTGTGTTTTTGTCAAAAAACGTCTCTAAACTTTGGTTGAATATATTGAGCTGATGTCCATTTTAAAAAATGATGATAAATGTTGATCATTTAATCTTGACCTTTCTGAATTTTTGTTATTTTTCATTAAAGAAAAAAGTTTCTCGCATAAATAAATGTTTCCAAACATAGCCATTCATTATATACGTAACAAATAATAACATTTTAAGAAACAGATCTACAAATGAATATGTATAAAAATCTAGAGAGTTTCAACTCTTTTGTTTCTGCAAAAATTCACAATAGATTTCAATTAATTACATTTGTAAGACTTTATCAACAATTTCAAAATCGATTGATAAAAGTGAAGTTAGTAAAAAAAATTATAATTCAAAAATTTTAAAATCAGAAAATATTTGATCGATTTCCATTTCTAACAACTTAATTTGGCAAGAATATTCTGCACATTTTAATCTAATTGATTTAATCAGTAAATTTTTAAAGCTTTCAAAGTGAGACAGCTATATCTCTTTCTGCTTATAATAATTAATCTATAACAATTTTTGCTTGGAAGCGTTAAAAGTATCACATATCATTGTAACAAAATGATTTTTGCTTTGAAGCTTAAGCTTGTAATATCAACTGAGAAAGCCAGGGGCCTTACCGAATGCTCATCTTTCAATTCTCTCAGCACATTCATATTTTTTTTTGTTTCCAAGAAAATGATGATTTAATCCAACAACATGAAAAAATCGTTTAATCACTTTATGACACTCGAAATGTATTGAACTTTCATGTAATATGGTTAACCGATATAAATTCACATTCTTTATCTTCCAGATATGAAGCAAATCAACGATGTTAAAGTCTACATGCTCGAATATAGTTTACAATTTTACTGGATATTTTAAAAGTTGTCGAATATCCAAGTACATGCCCAAGAACATTACTTGCTATGGAATAATACAATGAAAATGTTTCAAATTATTATTACCATGCTGTTTGTAATATTGGTCAGGGTAGATGCACTATCAGTTGCAGTGGAGTAGCGTACACCCCCGCATTGCGGAGAGGTGCAGGGTTCTAAAGGACCCAAAGCCTGAATGCCGCCAAGTACCTCCTACCCTTTGTAAAATCCAACACGGGGGGGGGGCAAACCTAACTTTGCAGGGGGGAGGGTCTAAATACTCTCAGTTACGCCACTGATCAGTTGCAAGACAATGCAACTATTCCAAGGAACACTTCATCAAAATTTCCAAAAATGCATCAAAAGTATGTATTATTCATAATACGTGGACTCGACTCAACTATAATTCTCGACTATTTCATCACTTCTGTTGATTACAGAATTTCGACTTACACTTACACTTTTAAAAACTTTTATTTGTGCTGGACATAATACCGGTTTTTTTCCGAATCTAAACTGCCGTTGATTCTTAGGCGACTCCAAATTTTCAACAAATTTTTGTGAAATATGAAAAATAGTGTAAAATGGTTTATCGATATCAAATTTTACGAAATTAAAATAAGCTTAAAAAGAGAACTAATAAGTGAATAGTTATTTTATCAGTATTGTAAACTTTTAATTACCAATCAACAAATTTATTTCCCTTCGATTCTAAGCCGCATCCGGTTTTCAGTAGCCTTTACTTTGGAAAAAAAGCGGCCTAGATTCGAGTAAACACCGTAATTCCTCCACTTTAATTAAGCATTCGCTAATAAATTATTCTTTAATAAATGATTTTAATCTGTGCTTGTAATTAAAAGTAATAATATATAATTAGTTTTTACTGCAGTTGTATTGTCTTCAACAAATTTACGTGGCCGCAGTAGCCTAGAGTTCAAGGTAACGGACTCGAGTCATGAGTCCGGATCTTGTACCGCTGAAGACCCACCATGCAGAGGGGGCTGATGCACGTAAAAAATATCGAAGCTAAAACATCCTTCCATTGGTGTAGTGTGGAAGTTAGGAAAGGTTGGGTGTCAGCTCAGGTGTCGTCCTCGTCACTTGACCATTGTTCAACAACAAACGCTCTCAAGCAGCTAAAGAGTGAGACGTTAATATTCACTCTTACTCACTCAACAAATTTAGTGAATAAATTTTTTTTTTTAATTTTGAAGAGTCGATTTCAATTTGTTTTACGAAGTTTCGCATCATATTGGTCATAGTTTGTTTTCTGTTTCGTGTCATAGTAGCTTTTAAAATTATATTCCTTAGCAACTGAATAGCAGTTTTTACATATCAGGCACAATATTTTATTCTTGTTTTGTTTATAAAAATATTGCAGCTCCCATTTTTCTTGAAAATTACGATGTCCATCTTCAGTTTATCTTTCTTAATCTGTTCTTGAAGTTTGATTATATTTTTATTAAATAAGTTTTAGTTTATTATGAATAAAAACCAAAATCCACTTTCATTCACAAACAATTGAGTAAACACTTCGCTTTGTCTTGATCATCTTGGGGAACTTAAATTTAAAAAAAAAAAATAAATCTGCAACTGCCGCTGACTGATTGGACATAGCAAAAAGAACTAAAAGTCGCACACACGAGGAATCGTAGAACTATCTATGCAAATAATAATCATAAATGCATTTAAGAATTTAATAAAAATTAATTTATTATAGTAAAATTAAATGAAAAAATAAACAAAACATTAAAAATGATTTACAATTAAAGGCTATTTCTATAATTAAATAGGATTTTTTTTTTAAAATCAAGAATAGATAACAGGTTAACATGTTGCAAATTTTTAGAAAATGTTTACCAGAAAATATTTCAAAATGTGAAAAAATCCTTAGCAATAAATATTTAAAATTGTGTAAAATGTCTTCGAGGACCACAACCTATGTATTGGCGGGCCGCATGTAGCCACTGGGGTTCATAAGGCTCCATGGAACTCACGAGAGAGTTGAGAAGCTGTAGTATCCCTGTTATTAAACAAATGGCCATCTTCTCTGGGCGTGATGGGTCTTGGACAACCATGCCGAGGTTTTCTGTTGACGAATCTGGCATCCTAAAACTGTTTCCCTTAATTGAACATGGCGCTGGGTGCTAAGTTTAATTCTCTCAAATCTAGATTTAGGATTGCCATGCTTCTAGCCTGCCCACAATGCCTCACCTCATTTCATCATCTAAGCCCGGAGTGGGCATTAAGTCGATCGCGATCGACCGGTGGACCGCCAAGACAATTTGGGGTGACCGCCTTTATTAAGACTTCAGACGTGCATACACTAAAAGAATCATATTTGTGGAACACCGTTGCCAACTAGACTAGAGACTGGGTGGACCGCAAAACCTTGGAAAATGGAAGAAGTAGCCCGTAACCTGGAAAAGTCTGCCCACCCCTGATCTAAGCATTCCGTAATCTAACTGATTGCTGCAAAAAAACCCGAAGAAATTCAGCGAGGTGTGCTGGTGAACGAAATGCGGATTTTGGCCCCCTCACTTATAAATCTTGTTTTTCGAAAAAATTAGTAGCACACACTATGCATAGGGGGCTGGAGCACGTTAAAAATGTCTTCCCGTTGGTGTGGTGTTGAAATTAGGAGAGGGAGGTGCCAGGCAGGGTCCTCGTAACTTGATTCATTCTAAAAATGTCGAGGTCTCTCCCTAATACCCCTTGTACAGCTTCATAGCGCGACGTAGAAAGAACTCTCACTCACTGCCTACACATGTGCATTTTCTTAGGTGTTCCAAACTCAAGATTTGCATCTTTCTTTGGAAGCAGTATTTTGAGTTCCCGATCTCCCTATATCTTGATTAAATTTTCAACCGTCAATGAAATTCTTTCTATTCATCCATTCAACTTCAAGTACATTTTTTAAAACTTGTAGTGGAGGGCACTTGATGTTAATATAGTTTTTTCAAATAATAATTCAATGTTACATTCAATTAATGAATAACTAGTAACAGACAAAAATAATAATTCGACATTATATATATAAAGCAAAGCCGCTCGTTGTGTCTCAGTAGCGCAATGATTAGCACGTTGGACTTCTAATCCAAAGGCCGTGGGTTCCCATCCTGCCTGGGATGGCCTAATTTCCAAGAATGCGATTTATGAATGAATAAATAGTAACGAACAAAAATAATAGTCCAACTCCACATATAGAAAGGAAAATAGCTTTCTATATTTTTCCAGTTAATATTGTGATTATGTCATATGCGTATTTATATTATTTTGTGTAATTATTTAATAAAAATTAACTAAAATAAAATGTTTCTTTGTTTATCTAAGTAAGGATTGACTTCATATTACTTCTTATACGTCGTTCAAACATTTTAATTCAATTCGAAAAAAATCTTTTAATTTTAAACACCAGTATAAAAAATTACATTATTTTTCTGACAAGAGAAGTATGTTTGGTAAACCATCATTTTAAAATTGAAAAGAAATTTACATTTTGAGAAATCTTAAAATTTTTATAGAATATTCAATTTCAAATATTTTTCTGGAATTTCAATTGAACTATATTTCATGGATTTTAAGGAACAAAAGTTAGCATGAAATTGGAAAGTGTGATCATTTGTTGAATTTAAATAACTATTTTTGTCACTTAGAAGCAGTAAGAAGCGTAGACATTCTAAAAATATTAACTTTGACGTTTAGAAAAATATCTGCAAAATTTTCAGTCATAAATACATTATTTTGCTATATGGAAGTATTCATATAAACGTGTTGATATCAAAACAAGAAATTTAGGGAATAGAAAATATTCTATCGACAAAAATGAAAGAAAAAAAAACACTTTTATGTCTGAGAAAAAAGGAAAGCACATTTAAAATTTGTATGGATGTACTGGAATTTGAAATTTGCATCAGAATGTCATACTCAAAAAAACTTAAAATATCTTTGAAACCAATTGAATGTCAAATTTAGAATGTGGAGGAAATGTAGAAAATTTTCGTGGGATGGAACACTGAAAAGTTTAAAATAAAGTATATTTTAAAAAAATATTTTTATCAATTCTAAGGTTTTTATTTTTATGTTTTAGCAATAGTGGCACTTTTCCAATTTAAAGAGAACATTTTTTTATCTTTTTGTAAAACTAGTCTAGAGTTAGAGTGAGATTTGAAAAATAATGTTTTTTTCATGTTAGAGAGAAGTAATATGACAAATATCTGGAGATGAATAAAAAAAAAATTTTTTTTAAATCTTTTTGGAACAACAATTTGGCTTAAAGCCTAAAACTGTGATTAATGTAATGCCTTGCACAGTTATAGAATTTATTGCAGATCACAATTCGACTTGGCTTTGAAACGCTACTCATCTGGGATTTTTATTTTCCACAAATGGGTCGAGCTTTTTAACCGACGATAACACTACATCAACTGTCTTTAATATCTTATTTAATTGCAATATGTTTGCAATGTTTTCTTTAACAATAAGCGGATTCGTAACTACTGAATTAGAGTTAATATCTCCCAATATCGCTTCTAGCCCAAATTAACTTTTGTGCTTCATTCACAACACCAATCAACCATCGATGTGCTGCTTCGTACAAGCGTTTACGACGAGTCCTTACAGAAACTTGTTTGGGAGGAGCATTGGGTCGACTTAAATGCATATCCATGACACTGCTGCACCGTTGCTCAAAACAAGTCGAATTCCTGCTGATTAGTGATTGGTTTTTTTTCTAATGGGATGCGGATTGGTGTTTTAGCATTACGGATCCAGTGCAGTCCTCGAAAGTTGGTATCTCTTTTTATTACGGTGCCATATAGTTGAATACCAATCACCACAGGTAATTTTGAAGCTCAGTTTCCTCCCGAGAAGGAGGCAACGTAGCTCTGATAATGCAAACCTGTAATAGGATTTAATTTTTCCGAGAACACCCAAGACTAACAGACATTCTAGGGATCTTTAACATGCCGTATAATCATACGACATGGCTACTGTCGGTTTTCTGCGTCATGGAAATTCACCGACTTGGGCCGGACTCTAACCCGCAACCTTGAGTGCAATATTACTGAAAATTAATAGCCGAAAGCGGTCATAAATATATCGATAAAAATAATATTTACAGAATACCTAATTACTTTGTTTTAACATTTTAAGGCAATGTCATTCAAAATTCGTGATACTGTTTGATGTGTATGAAAGGGGGGGGGGATTTCTAGTGCTTCCTTCGAACTGTTGTGTTTGTCTTTACTACAATATGCTACATAATGATGAATATTTAAAAACTATTACTTTGAATGGCTCAGTAAATTCTATTACTGTCACGTGATTCAAAGCAATGTTGTTAAGCAACAACTCAGCTGAAGGTTGGTGGGACTACAAAAATAAAGCATGATTGAATAAAATAAACCTTCACGTCAAACTTTGAAGACACATGAAGGCTTCTGACAGCTAAATTAATTTTTTAAAACACCGTTAAGGGACGATGTCAACACCTAAATAGCCAACTCTCCAAACTTAACAACACGTCTCAATGTGAGATTTTATACATTAAACGAGCATTGTGAGCATTTTACTTATTTAATGAGTCATGTTCTCGATTACGTCACTCGGTTGCCGCTATCCCAGAAATTAAAGAATCCAAGTGAATTTGAATGAAACTAAAATTATATTTCATGGATGATGATGTTCATCATTGAATTCTGAAATATATTAATGCACTATAAATATGTATTATACAAATGCAATTTCATCGAGATTTCACAATTCACAGAGGAATCTACGAATTTATGCACATTTAAATAATAGAGTTTCAAACCGGTGTTTCGTATGAATACAGAAAATACTCTTTCAAGTGCTTCTTTTTTAAATCCTCCTGTAGATAAAAAGGAGAAGAAAAATCTGTGTTTTTTAAGGCTGTATGGTACCCTAAAAATCATAAACCTGTCGAAATGTTTTATTGGCTTATTTGATACCTCGAATCTTCATAAATACGCTTGCAAAATTTCAAAGCTTTACCTGCATTGTTTAACAAGCTATGGAGCATTTTTATATATTTGTTTTTAGTGTGATATATATATATATATGCCATGTGTGTGAAATTTAACACTTTTATTATTAAAATATTTTAAGATATTTATTTAAACAAATGCACATATACATTTCTTAGATGTTGATATATTTTACTTATAAATTATTATTTGATTTTGCTTTCATTCGAATTTTAACATGTGATTTAACATGCGAATGCTTTTAAAATCACGGGGAGAAAATAAAGGCATACACATCTTTTGTACATGTTGTGCATTAGCTCTGAGCATGGGATTAGCTCTGAAGTGTGTGTATTTGTTTTATTTTATAATTATTAAGATAAAGTTTTATGAAATATTGATATTTCATACGTTTTCTTCTATATATTCATTATGCCAGTATCTGTATAATTGTTCTACATTTGTGGATTTTTTTATGGTAAGCAGTTTTCAATAAGCTAATTAAAATTTCAAAAAAATTTCAGACTATTCGATGGATATTATATCATGCTATTCATGGAATGAAAACTTCAAAATCATATTTCTTCATGTGGAATTTTTGTACATATACTATTATTCAAAACTCTAAGGCTTTTTTGATAGTTGAAGCATGGGTTTGAAATTTTAAACATGTTTTCAAATGTATGCTTTGTAAAACTGTGCATGGAATTAGCTGTAACATGTTTAGTACTTTTTCTAAAAAAATTCAAAATCAAAATTAATCTTTTTTTTAGAATGTTTGGAAGTTTAACTATAAAAAATTAATAAAAAAAAATGAGTAGCCGCCGAAAAAATCTCATGCAGCGTTTTATGTAGTATACTATAATGTACTTGGAAAAAAATTTGAAAGGAATGAAACATATTTAAAAAAGCCCTAGAAATTTTTTAAAAAAATGTTTTAAAAAGTTCAAAAAATTTAAATGATACAAACATTTTTCAACAAATTTAAAATTTAGGGTATGGAATTATTATTAAATATTAACCTTTATAAAATACAATTAAAACCAAATATCAAATATTAAAAATAAAAAAAAATTGTGAAGATGGTACCATATCGCCTTAAAATCTGCCAAGTATATTCAAATATAATCTAATTATTATCTTATTCATTTCTCTGTAGAAAAACAGGCGTCAGTCTGCGCCTAATGACTTTCATAAGTGGCTTACACTTTTAAATGGTTCGTTGTTACATATACGAGTTCACATTTTTGAGTTAAAACGACATTTATACAGTTTTTTTTAAAGCATTTTTTATCTTTTAGAATCATTTAGATGCCTTTAGTTATATTTTTAAATCATATTTAAGTCAAATGTATGAAGCTGTTTTGATTAAATATAACTGAAAAGTCTGAAATATACGCGTGAATGCTAAACTGAACATAAATATTACTATTTTTATTATAAGTTTTTATATTTGCCATTAAAAGTTCTTATTTGCATTATAAATATTATATTTCGCATTTTTTTGTCTCTTAAATATTAGATGTATTACAATTTGAATGATTTCTTTAAAATCAAGAAGTCCAACAAACATCAAATTTATGTTTTAATGTATGTTATATTAAATCTGATAATATTAAATAATTACATAATATGTAAATACTGTAAAAATAATCTTTATTTATTATTTATTTATGAAGTATATCATACCTAGTTTTAATAATGAAATTCTTGCTAAAATATTTAAATCAAGTAAAATGAATTAAGTGGAAATATTTAGACTGATTTTAATTTTGAAAACTTGTATTAATTATAGTGTGATTGTTATAATTTTTTTCTCTTAAATAAGAATTTGCATTGCTCCTTATATTACTAAAGATAGTATCAGGAATAGGCTAGATAAAAGTTGGCTTTCTTGTTTTGTTTCAACTGATTCTTTGTAATGATAAATTTTTATATGAAAAAAACTTTTTTCATGTCGATATGGAATTTTTATGTCCTTCAAAATATTCAAACAAATAAAACTGGATTCATTTTTAAATATGGTGAATATCAACTAAAGACTCAAGTTTATTATGTGTGTGTGTGTTCAAGAGATAACAAAAAAAATTCATACAGGAAGATCAAGAATGTTTGCCACATTTCTAATGTTACTCCATGTGAGC